GGCAGTCAGAAACGGCCCGTCTTGACTTCAGGCTTGAGTAGGAGAAAGGGTGTGAACTGATTCACTGTTCTGGGGGCAGTCACGAATTACATGCCCTGATTCATTACATCCATAACAATGGACAGAGGGGGATCGGCTAGGGGGACGTCCCGGGGTATCCGGACGAGAAGGTGGTGTGCGCGAGCGCAATGATTGACGGGGACGACCTTCGGAATTGCAAGAAGTGCGTCCAACACGAGGTGTCGAGGCCATGGAAGCTGTTGCTTTGGAATTGTCAGTATTAGCCGGTGACTGATCCTGACGGCACCGAAGATACATTGCCAAAACGATATTCATTTTGAGATCGTTGATGGTGGTTGTTTGGTGCCGAGGCCAGCTTTTTCTAACGAGACTCTTCTAGAAACGAGGCTGCGTAAAGGAATCCTGCATGTCGATACGACGTAATGAAGAACAACTTTTCAAGGTTGTCCAAGCATCCGGAGAAGAAATCATCAATTCGCTGATGAACATTGTCAGTCACTTGCTCCAAAAGATCTGGGTTGCGTCGAAGAACTTGATAAAGACGCTGCATATAAAATGGGTCATTTAAGTAAATGTAACCAGGTATGCATGAAGCGATCGGCAGTTATGGTTCGCTTCTTCCTTGAGGTTATTAAAGAACATTGCGTCAGTAATATAACTGAGATCTGTTGGTTTCAGCCGAGAAGCAGATTCCTTCCGGGCTTTGGTGGCGGGATCACGATAATACTGTTCTTGGTGTTCTGGGTGCCATTGTCGTGCATCAAAATCCCAAATGAAGCCATCATTCCAATTGTCCAATTTGCCAGCAGTACTATATACGTCACGGTGGTCACAGTGGACCCACTGCTGTTTAGTATGAGACCAACGGAAAGGTCCAAAGGAGGACGGGTGTCGGAAGAAGAGCCACGAGAGGTCTTGGTTGTACAAAAACGGAAAGCCAATAGAGCTGGCAAGGCTGGGCGGAAAGCCTTAGCGCCCAACATAATGTTGGAATGAGGACTATAAGCCTCAGACGTCAAATATTTGTTGTCTTCAAGACGGTAGTAATCTTAGATAACCAAAACTCGGGGATCAATATAGCCCACATCACGAACGTGTTGGACACGCTTAAAAGGGTTGTTATGATCTTGGCCTTTACGGTCTTTGCTAAGACGATACAAGCGGGAATCTTGGCCAGGTTTGAAGAAAAGGCCATCAACCAATGACAATGGACAACCACTCATCAAAAGAGGTGGTGTTCGTCATGCGTGGCTCAATTAAATGCTAAGATCTCGGGTCGACGAAATCCATCAAGCGGTCTAGGTGCGAAGCACGTCCAGAAGTTGCCAAGCGTTGCTTGATCAAAGATCGAAAAAGTTTTTCTTTCATGTAGCTCATAGCTTTACGAGTCCAAGAATAAATGGGAAGCTCAACGTTTGGACGAAGAATCGATGGGACAGACGAGTCTTGAGAGTTTGACTTGTTGTTATTGTTGCGAACTAGTGTTGCAAGTAGTAATCGATTGATCAGGATCGCTGTAAAAACACTAAACGACCTTAGTTGAATTGTATAGGCCCCGTAGGTCTGACACATAGAGTCTAGGTTTGTTCTACTTAGGTCGGTCGCAGTGTGTTACAGCTAAGAACTGACACTGCGATCGACTTTCCTGCCTATTTATCACCGAAAGCGTAGCTGTAGAGTCCCTATTGCTTTTATTGAACTTGAAATCTGTCTGGAACGCTTTTTTGTCTGAAACGTTTTTTCCCATTTGTAGGGCCCCAAGAGTCTCGGCGCCCCAGTCGTGTTTTATTAACTACCCACTTTGATTAAACGCTTTCAGTCCCTGAGGCGCCCCAGCCGTGTTTTATAGGCGGCTGGAGACCAAGGGTGATCTCGTTGGTGCACACGAAAGTGGCGCGCCCAAATAGTCTAACGGTTCGTCCAGTCCTTGGTCGTCTTCAGGTTTATAGGGAAAGGGGTTTTTCCGCACACACGAAAGTAGGGTAAGAAAAACCACCGTATAGTTTATCCATGACGCGAATGTTTTACACAAATGCCAAAGTGACTTTCATTGCACATGATAAGGGCACCTACTCACAGACCACTGTTTGTATTTATATATTTATGTATTTTTAAGTACAATTAGAGTAGAGTTCGCATTCCACACCGCTACTTTGTTATATGGCTGTAGCGACCTATGTATGACCACACGTAGCCTGGCGTTTCTCCGAGTGAGTACGAACACACGTACTTAACGGTAGGAATATATATTGACAATCATTAGTGATGCTGCCGTCTAATTAGTTTTATACAATGTAACTAACCCTGCTTTTAAACTCCTTATTAGGCGATGTCTCGAATATGTATGCGAAGAATCTATTGTAGTAGGAGAGGATTCAACTACTACAGCATAAAGACCAATCATAGAAATGTAAATTCAGAAATATCAGTTCCTTTTTATGTCGACTACTGGCGAGTATATATATATATACGATAGGAATGCTATGCAAAACACGGCTATAGACACAGATTCCATTACTACAGTCAATCATGTGCGTGGTAGACTTTAGCGGGTCCTGAATAATAGTATTCACTAGCTTGGAAGGGCGCACGCATGGACACACGTCTCGCACTCGACTCAAACTGCTCACCTCCTGTTGATCGAAATGAATGCTAAACTGCGATGTCGTTTATAGCGTTGATCGCGAGTATTCCAACATTACACTTGAGCTTACCCCAGTACAAAGCGGTTGGTGTCAAGCGAATTGTATGCTATTTGATACATTTGTAGATTGTTAATTTTTATTGCGCCTCAACGATTCGTGTCGCTGTCTACAGGGCCAATAGGGGTACAAAGGGTCGTCGTACGTTCTGCACTAAACGTATTTATTCAATAACAGGCTATGTGTGGCACTGCAAATGCTGAATGGAATTTACATGTAATCATTGGATATTCAAACTCCAGTCGCGGGATCATGACAAATGGAACCGAAGCATGTCCTGTGGCCCAGGGGGTTAAACCACTTATGTACATACCAAGAAGTGGCTATGGTTGTTCGGGGTTATGGTGTAGGAAACTTCACGCAAACGGACCTACATCGCTGTTGTAGTGCGAGTCTTGCTCCGCTCTCGACAGTGTAATCTCACGCATTTTCTGGGTGGCGAGATTGAAATAGTACCGGAAGTATGCAATTAGTAAAGTTTGTATGTAAGCAGGATCTGATTATTAAGGCCAAGTGCTAAATTCTCTAGCTGAAACCAGAGAACCCCCCATTTTGCGTACAAATATCATCCCACTTAAGGGAACGAATCAGCATGTCATCGCGTTTCATATCCGGATCAGATTAAACACAGAACAAGGCTTTTGAAACAAGTAACGGAGCAAACAAAAAGTTTAAACTCACCTCAAAGTAGTACTTCGACGGGCACAGCTGGTCAGGCGACAGGAGACAGAAAGGCATCTGCGTGGGCACAGAGTCAAGTATCAACCGAAAGGCATACTCTGCATCCGAGCTGGAATTACATGCATGCATGGGAGCGTACCACGGTAGTAGTGTTAGAGCATGCAAACAGCAGAGAAGCCCGTGGGGACGAGTGGAGTCATTCACATATAACTCACACACAAACGATGGGTAGTGGGTAAGACCATTGCTAATGAACTAGCCCTGCTGCAGTCCTACGAAAACCATGGGTACAAGGTGCACCATGATCTTAGCCTGACCCACAAGCCGAGCAACAGCGACAAGAGATACGGAATTATATAAACAAGGGTATTAGGAGTGAGCGTGTTGATAGTCCGCGATACAAGTAAGGGTGTGGGTGGTTGTGGCCTGGAAGTACGATATTGCAATACGGGATCAACACATCCACCTTGCTGATTTGATACTGTAGAGTTCCAGTTGCAGCACAAACCCATACTTCGGCCACGGGAATTCTTCTCATCCCAAAGCTTGGAGCACGGCAATCACTGCGAGGATAGTATGGACGTTCAACAAGAGGTAACAGGGAAAGGTTAAACTAGAACTGCTTCCAGTACGCGATCTATAGGTACATGAGCAAAATACTGGTAAGTGATAAGTGGCGAGTAGAACCTTCTCGCTAATATGCGACGTAGCTCCAATGAATCCTATCCATCAACACTATGGCATCATATTTCGATGTATTTAGACATCAATTCTGTTCGTATTGCGCACGTTGGGCATCTGCCGATACACACACACACACACACACACACACACACACATATATATATATATATACAAACATATCAATTTAAAAAAGTAAACTACACTACACTACACTACAATACAATACAGTACATGTACAGACACAAAAACACACACACACACACATAACATATATATATATATATATACACATATATATACATCGATATATTTATGTAATGTATATATACATATACATATACATACACACACACACACACACACACACACACATATATATATATTAGGTTATAAAATATTGTATATACATATTGTAAATAAATATGAAATATAAATATATATATGAATATATATATATATATATACATGTACGTGTACACACACACACACACATATATATATATAGGGTTACAACATATTGTATATACATATATAAAATATAAAGAAAAACATAAATATAAATATAAAATACACAAACAAGTATATATATATATACATATACACTCACACATACACACACACACATATATATACATATCTATATATATGTATATGTATATACAAACACACACACGCATATATATACATACATATGTATACACACACATATACATACAAATATACATATACATGATATATGTAGTATATATATACATATATGTACACACACATACACACACACACATATATATATATAAATATATTTGATATGACATATTATATATATATATATACATATATTAGGTTATAACATTATTGTATATACATAAAATAAATATAAATATAAATATGTATGTATATATAT